CTCGAGGAAGCGCGCGCAAAGGCGCCTTGTTCGTTGCAATCACCATGGAACATCATTATTTACAGCGACGAGGCCAAACCTGGTAATAAGCTCAAACAGTGGAATAAGAGGGCCACGCAAAATCTGTACATGTCGTTTCTTGAGCTGGGCGCGGCAGTCCTTTGCAAAGAGGACGCTTGGCTCTGCGTCGGCTGCGTCAGAACCGTGGACATCCAGGACTGCGAGGCTGGGATGGCGCAGCTCATGGGTGCAGTCTTACTTCGTATGTTCAATCCAGATGGCCACGATTTGGAGCATGCTGGCGTAAACGTGGACTACGGTGACGGGAGCGGGTTCAGGCTGCACGCGGTGTTCAGCATCATGCTGGGCGATGAGTCAGCGCTCCACAGCGTTTGGCTCTGCAAAGGGAGCGGGGGGACGAAATGCTGCCTGCACTGCTGCAACATCGTCAACAAGAACTGGCTTGCTGCTGGTGAACTCGAGGGGGCTGCCCATCTCAAAGATTACTCCAAGGTTTTTTCTCTTCGAGAATGCGAGCCTACAACCAAGGCTATGGTGCTGCACATAATCGACGACCTTGCCATGTCTAAGCCTGCAATGAAAAAGGGGCTGTTCGAAGATAAAGAACAGCGCCGTGGTTGGGCGCATTCTGGCTTCAATATGTTGCACAATCGTAAGCTGAGAGAAATCCTGGACCCGCCGCTGCAAAACGTTTACGATTGGGTTCACAATCTGCTCCAGGGCATATTTCAACAAACACTATTTCTGGCCTTATGGGCGATTAGCTTCTCTGGCTTCAAACCGTCGCACGTTCTTAAATTCATGGAGTCTTTCACGTGGCCGAGGCGAATATCAAGCAAGGGCGTCACAGGCATTGACATGTGGAAACAAAAGCGGGCCGACTCTAATTGGAAGAAGGCGTATTGGAGTTGCAGCGCTTCCGAGGCGCTGAGCATGCATCTCCCGATAGCACATTTCTTCAGAACCAGGATCCTTCCCAGTGGGTTGCACAATGATGAATGCGAGGCGATTATCACATGTTGCACGCTCGTACAATTCCATTGGAGTACGGCTAAATTGGGCATTTCAAGCGAGGCAATTGCGCGGGCCACTGAGAATTTCCTTCGAGCCTCTGAGAAGGCTTTCGGCACAGACGGGGCGTTGTGGAAACACCATGCGATCTTGCACCATTCAGCCTACGTGGCGAAGTGGGGGTGGTCGCCCCACACGCTGCCGCTAGAGCGCAAACATAAATCAGTGCTCAAATTTGGAGAAGACCATCAGAAAGACACAAAGGCCGTGATCCGAGAAGTTGTGGCAGAGAGTTTTTTCAACTTGCACGACGCACCTTGGCTAGACCTTGCTGTAGGATTGGTAGCGCCGACTGCGCCGAATAAGAAGTTGTGCAAGTTTTTAACAGAAGTGTTCAGATCAACAGACCACCAAGCATCTGGCAAAGCCAGGTTTAACGAATTCGATGTTGCATGGGTTCGTGATTTCGTGGCTGTCAGATCCACTGCGGGTTGGATCGTTGCTCGGGTGATTTTCTTTGCGTCGACGAATTCTGTGCCGTACGCTGCAGTTCAGCCTTTCAGGTGCCTGACAAAAAAGCCTTGGCACAGCACGTGGACAAAGTCAGGTGAGCCTATGTTTGCGGACTTGGTTGATTTGATTGAAGTGTTGACCGTTTGTGGCAACGACGCTGTCTTAACTGTACTTCATCCCCTGGCGCTGGTGGAGTAAAGCATAGCACAAAAACTATAGTCCTCCTCCCCCACCACCTGGGAGTGGATTAGCCCTCCCCCTTTTCAGGTATTCCCCCCCTCCATCCTCTGTCGAAACGTGTGAGGGGAGTGCCGAAATTATATGCTGGGAAGCATATGAACATGCACACTTGGGCCTTCCGTGGAGCTACCTATGTGGCAACGAAGCGTGTGAGGATGTGCCGAAATGAAAAGCGTCTGCTCCGTTCCTCCTCTCCCCTCCCCCTGTCCCCCCTAAGACCCCCGACACAGATCACGGCTAGCGTCAACTCCGCCGCCCCACTTTTATCGCCAGGGGCCCAGGCCTTGTGATCCCTCGTACGATACGATAGGTCGCCGTTTTAGGCGGCAGCCCGATCCATTTTGACCGCGCCTCGGCGGCCACGCGTGGTGGGTCTGGCGAATTTTTCGGCGATCGTAGCTTCGATTTGTATTTTAGTGGGGGGTCGACGTGACCCGCCGCAGCCTGGAATTCGTTACGCGTCCAACCTCGTAGCATTATTTCTCCCCCATGAACACAACAAAAAAATGCTCCGCTGGAGTTACTAACTTGATTAGGGGGTTAGCTAACCTACTTAGCGGGGCTTAGCTAACCCGTTCAACCCCACAGGCGGATTTAGCTAACCCTTGGTAACGCGATAGTAAACGCACTAGCAACCCGATGTAAATTGATTAGCTATCACGGCTAGGAAGGTTTAGCGAACAAGTTATCAAATATGTAGCAACCCGCTGTAAGAGAGCGTAAAGGGTGCAACCGCTTGTAAGGCTTACCAAGCCGGCCTCCCTTCCAAGTGGGCCTTCCGCGGCTCCGAAGCCCCAAGGCTCCGTTGGAAAAGAACCGAAACCAAACACCGTAGGATCCAGCACGCCAGGCACCCCTGTGGCAAGCCAACAGGGGGCGGCGGATCCACGGTGGGGGCGTTGGTTCAGGAATGCGCCCAGGAGGCTGCAGACCCTGGAGGATTCCTTATCTGATGAGGGCGGCCGTAATATCCACTGCCAATCCGCGATTGGAGTTCCACTGGCTATCCAATGCTTCCGTACCCAATGCCCCCACCGCAGTGGCCTTCGGCCCATCCCGCCACCGCGCCTGGGTCGAGGACGGGCGGCATACCACAGAGGCGTCCTGGGGGGTCCCCTTGGGGAACCTCCTGTGGGCACGTCGGAGGCGTGCCTGGGGCCTCCAGCATGCCTCTCGGGGTCTCTTAGATCAGGATTCTGAGTTTTAACACGCAGAGGCCAGCATGGGTGGCTCGCGCTGCAGACGCGGTTGCATGGGGCAGTCTGGGAGAGGGCTTCGCGAGGTACTGGGGCACCGCGGTGCCTGCCACCCCCGCCCCGCCCTGGGTCGGGCTCTTGCCCGACAGAGGGTGTCTGTCTGTCTGTCTGTCTCAGGGTCTCTCAGGGGACGTTTGCAGCATCTGTGAGCCTCCTTGGGGTCCCGCTGGCGGACTCGGGGCCATCTTTGGTGAGAAGGCTCAGGGTTTCATCTCGGGTCCCTCTTGGGCTCCTCCCGGGGCCCTCTTGGGGCCCAGCGCGGTCCTCTTGGGTGCCTCCTGTGCCCTCTTGGGGCCGCCTTGGGGCCGTCTCAGAGGCCCCTGGGGCCGTCGGAGTGCAATATTGGGAGCCTCGTGGGCCATCTTCGGGTGTTGGAAGCCTGAACATTCGATAGCGCTAACACAATCCAACATATTTTGGATAATCACTGGTTTGGACATCTCGGGGTCCTCTGCGCGGTCCTCTTGTATCTATCTTGGGGCGTTTTGCGAGCCTCTGTGGTCGTCTTGTGTCTGTCTTCGGCGCCTTGGAACGCTTCCTGGCCGTCTTGGAGTTCAGTTGGACCGTCTTTGGGGTCTCGCAGGGTCCTCATGGTCCGTCGTGGGCCCTCTGGCCTCTGGGAAACTCACGCGGGATCACGAGAGGCACGCGAGCAGCCTTTGGAAATCCGACATGTGGATGTCCTGGTTTAAACAAGTATGATTTGCTCAGTGTGGATTATTCCACCATGGCGGATCTTTTCGGAGTCGGAGGTGAAGTGGGGGCATGAGTTGGATGAGGGTGATGAGGGGAGGTGGAGGAGGAAGCCAGATGGCCCGAAACGATCTGTACCGAAGAGGGGAACAGATATGTAGATTGTCGCCACCTCAGCCCTGTTTGGAAGGAGATGGGGTCGGAACCGGTGGGTGACATAATGGTGAGGGTTGAGAGAGGCAGAGGGGTGGAACGTAGGATGGATCCTGGAGGACACGGAGGCGGAGGAAGAAGGCGGATGAGCAGCAAGACCAGTCGGAAGAGGAGGGGCAGGAGGGCCGAGTAGAAGAAGGGCGGAGGAGGAGGAGGAGGGGAAAGACGTAGGAGGGAGAGATGAAGAGAAGGCGGTGCGGTACGATGAGGACGGTGGGCGGAGGAGGAGGAGGAGGAGGAGGAGGAGGAGGAGGAGGAGGAGAAGGAGGAGGAGGAGCAGAAGCAGTGTGGAGAAGCTGGGCTGCCCCTGGCGTGCAGGAGCCCAGGGGGAAGGAGCAGGCAGAGCGACGGCAGGGAGGCAAGGGCTCCCCCGAGGGCGCGAAGTTATTCGCGCTTCGCGCTTCGCGGTCCTCGTTCCTTCTCCCCCTCCTCCTCGTCCTCCTATTCTCCCCTTGGGAGGGCGGCGCGAGAGCGCGAAGTTATTCGCGCTTCGCGCTTCGCGCAGCGCGAAGCGCGAAGTTGGGAGCCCTTGAGGAGGGGGGTTGGAGGGGCAGGGACTGGAGGGCAAGGGGCGGGGGGCGGGGCAGGTTCAGGGGCGCGTGCATTCTAAGTGAACTCGATCTCCCGCGCGTCGGACTGCGGCCCACCAACTGCACGATCTCCCGCTTCGAGACGCACCATGGCGGACGATTCAGTGCTTCGCGCTGGCCAGTCATTGCGATGGTGCAAAGAACTCAAGCAGTGAGAGGACTGACCCGGCCTGCAGGGGCGCAGGCAGCCGGCCATGGGGGGAGGGGGGGGGGGCGCTGGGAGGCCGCGAGGAGCACGAGGCGAGCGGGGCCGGCCGGGCTTCTCCACCTCCGCCCCCCCCACGAGGCCCCGAATCCGGGCCCCCCCCCCTCCAGGAGGGAGCAGAGGACGCGGTGTCGAGCGCACGCGTGGCGCGAGCGTCCGTGGCGCGAGAGGCCTGCCTCGCGGACCGGGGGGGGCCGAGACCTCGCGCGAGCGGCCAGAAGCGCACGCCTTCTGCGGCCTCCCTGCCCCGTGCGTCGGAGGTGCAGCACCACCCGGGGGACGAGTTCATGAAGGACGGGGGCTCGCGGGGCGTGCGGCCTCCCACAGGGCGCTGCTGCCGCTCCTCCTCCCCCTCCAGCGGTGCCAGCGGGCCAGAAAGGTCCCAGAAAGGTCCCTTGCCAGGGTATCGGCCTCGGGCCAGAAAGGTCCCTTGCCAGAAAGGTTCCAGAGAGGTCCCAGCAGGGCTCCAGGGTATCGGCCTCGGGCCAGAAAGGTCCCTTGCGGCTGCCCTTCTCAGAGAAGAGGCCCTTAGCCATCCAACGCGGCTCCCTGCTTCTGTTCTTCCCCCACGTCGCCGTGGAAGCACTTCTCCCGTTCGTCCCTGGCCGCCGCAGCCGGAGCAGCACGTGGCATGTTGGCCGTAGTGCTCTTGGCCGTTCACGTCTCTCCATCTTCCCGGCTTCCTTGGCCCGCCGGGCCGCCGTTCCTGCCTCAGCTGGTCCGCAGCACTGGTGTACGCAGGACCTGGTCAGCCCCAGCACGTGGGCCTGGGTGCGGTTACTCTGCGCTGGCGAGCTCCTCGCCGCTCTGTCTCTCTTTCTCTCTCTCTCTCTCTGTCTCTTTCTCTCTCACTCTCTCTCTCTCTTTCTCTGGCTGGCTGTCTGTTGGTCACCATGTCAATATGTCTTTCGGTCTATCTCGCTCTCTCTCTGTCGTCGTCCCGTAACTTTCTTCTGTCATTTGAGTTATATCTTCAACGTGTATGCATTATGCTCTATGCTCATTGACGCGTTTTTAATGAGATGCGATGCGGATCGATGATGAGGACAAGGAGGATAATGATAAGGAAGAGGAGGCTGAGAAGAGGGTATCGGCACACTTGCAGATGAGGAGGAGGAGGAGAACGTTGAGAAGGAGGATGAAGAGGTAGCGCGGAGCGGAGCAGTACATGGAGGAAAAGAGAGGAGAAGGAGGAGGAGGTAGAGGAGAAGGAGGAGGAGGAGGAGGAGGACCGGTGCAAACGCAAGACGCATCATCGATGTTGCAATACATCCTCCCTCAACTTTTTTTTCATCTGAAGCTGTTTTGATTACGGGAAGCACCCCATTGGAAGACTGCCGTTGAGAATTCTGATTGCTGCAAGCTCTTAAGATGAATGCGCGCGGCGCTAAGTTGAGAGCTATATGTTGGAAAGGGCCCGCCCTCCTTCCTTGAAGCTGTTGCAAACTTTTTAGGCGAATGTACGCGGCGCTACGGCGAGAGCCACAGTTTGAAAAGGACCCGCCCTCCAGCCTTGAGAAGCTGTTGCAAGAAAACGAATGTGCGCGCTCTAAGGCGAGAGCCACCCTTTGACAAAAAAAGTGCCCTCCAGCCTCGAAGCGGTTTCAGCATCTCGAGCCTCATGGTCATGCGTGGTGAGGGCGTCTCTGAAGAAGTCTTGACAAGGGCAAGGGGTGGAGGAGGACGGCGGTGTTCACTGGCGGCTGCAGCGGTGGCGGCTGCGGCGGCGGCGGCGGCGGCGGCGACGACGACGACGGCGACGACGGCCTCCCGCCCAGGACGCCCTCGCGTCGACCTTCCGGCAGGTGGCCCGGGCGAGGCCCGAGGCCTCCGCGCGCGGCGGACCCCACCACGCCGGCGCCGCCGGGTGGAGCCCCTCTCTCTGGCGGGGCCGGCCTGCTCCTCCCGCCCACCGCCTCAGGGAGTGGAGGGGAGGGGATGGAGGGGGGAGGCCAGAAGTGGACGGGTCGAGCGAGAAGGCCCTCCTCCTCCTCCTCCTCTTCCTGCCCTCCACCTCCTCCTCCTCCTTTTCCTTCTCCTCCTCTTCGTGGACGCGGGCAGGGGGAGCCGGCGGCGGAGGGAGGACACGGAGGAGGGAGGCGGAGGAGGAGATGGCGCGCTCCGCGCGCCAGGGAGAGAGGCCCAGCGCGCAGATCCAAGAAATCCGCGCGGACCTCCGAATGTTTTGTTTGTGCCGTGTTTCCTTGCCCCAGAGGAGGACCAGTGCAAACCCAAGACTCATCAACGGCGTTGGAATAGACCCTTCCTCCAGGCTCCCTCTTCATGGGCCCCTACAGGGGGAAATTTCCACTGAGGGAACTGCCTCGTTGGGAGAGACAACCCTTTGAAGACCCCGAAGCATGACGAAACACTATTCTCGGGACTCCAACGCCACGGATCAGCCTGACTGTTGCGTCTTGACGATCTTGAACCGTGGCAGAACGCCATTCCTGGAACTTCAACGCCACGAATACACGCAACTGTTGCGCCCTCACAATCCTGAAGCCTTCCAAAAAACAATTTCTGGTACGTTGGCCATGGGAATCAGCGAAGCTCTTGCAACTTGTTAGAACGAATGTGCGCGAAACTGAGGCAAGAGCCGCAATTTGAAAACGAACCGCCCTTGATTGTGAAACTCTTGGGATAGGTCAAACTCTGGCAAATGTTCAAAAGAATGCGCGCGGCGCTAAAGCGAGAGCCACATTATGAAAACGAACCGCCCTGAGTCCGTGAAACTCTTGCGATGCTTTCAAACACATTTGCGCGGCGTTAAGGCGAGAGCCGCATTTTGACCCCCACCCCCTCCATATGTGAGACTGTTGCCAATGTTTGAGCTTCAGGGTCATGGAGAGGACGTCTAAGGCGAAACGCCCGAGCCGCCCTTTCGGCCAGCTTCGGGGAGCGACAGTGAGAAGTTATTCAAAGGAGAAGGAATGGAGGAGGAGGAGGAGGAGGAGGAGGAGGAGGAAGCGGGAGAGGGAGGAGGAGGGAGGGAGGGAAGAAGGGAGGCAGGGAGGGTGCGAGGGATGAAGGGAGGATGAGGAGCAGGTGGGGGGAGGATCAGGCACGAGTTGGTGGAGGAGGAAGACAAGCAGCAACTAGAGCAGGAACAGGTGGAGGATGAGGAGGAGGAGGAGGAGGAGGAGGAGGAGAAGGAAGAGCAGGATGTCGACACAAGGTTTGAGGATGCGGAGGGGGACGCGGATGGGGACGCGGACGGAGATGCCGGAAAGGAGGAAGAGGCGGAGGGGGAGGGGGATAAAGGAGGAGAAGGATGAGGAGGAGGAGGAGGAGGAGGAGGAGGAGGAGGGGGAAGAAGAGGAGCAGGGGTGGGGGTCAGGAGGATTGGAGGAGGATCAGGAGGAGGGGTAGGCCGTCTCCCCCAGTAGGTCGATCTGGACTCCACTGCTTAGAACTGGTTGGGCCCCAGGGTGCTCCTGGGGCGCCGACGGCCAGGGGCAGTGCCCACCAGCGGACTGGAGGTGCCGCCGACGCCAGTGTCGGGAGGAGGAGGCGGAACGAAGGGGACAAGGAGGGTGAACTCGGGCAGGCGGAGGAGGAGGAGGACGAGGAGGGAGGCGAGGGAGGGGACGTGGGGAGACGGGAGGACGGAAGACGGAAGAGGGTTGAGAGGAGGAGGAGGAGGAGGAGGAGGAGGAGGAGGAGGAGGAGGAGGAGGAGGAGGAGGAGGATGAGGCGAGGAGAGGGTGCGGAGGAGAAGTGGGGGAGGTGAGTGAGGAGGATGGGCGGAGAGTGAGAAACGGCGTCGGGGGAGGAGATCTGCTCGGAAGATCGGTGGCGCGCCCACGAGGGGGGAAGGCAGGGGGGGGCAGCTTTCTCAGAGGGCTCAGAAGGTGTCGGTTCTTCCGGGAAGGTTTCCAAGCCTTCTCCGAAGCCACAGAGGGCTGTTTTCTCAGAAGGCTCGGAAGGCCTTTCTGAGCCATCTCCGAAACCACAGAGGGCTGCACATAATGCCAGAGGGCTTCTGACAAGCCCCCTGGCCTTTCTAGAAGGCTCGCCCCGTCTCATCCCCCCCCCCCTTGGCGCGCCGCCGATAGGAGGAGGATGGGGAGGAGTGAGAGGCTGGCATGTAGGACGTGCAACGCACCCTGGAAGCGTACATCCCCCAGCCGAGCATGGTGGCAGCATCGCTGCAGGGCGAAGCCCGGCCTGGCAGTCTGACGATTGCGAACGGCGCGGCCGGCCAAAGTGTGAGGACAACGGCTCCTCGCCTGCGGGGGGCAGGCACGGAGCGGGGCCGGGGTGTAAGTTGGGCCTGTCCCTCTACAGGGTGAATGTCTGAAGTAGTCAAGAGATAGTCTAGGGACGATGTTTTGACAAGTTTTGAATATTTTGGGGGGCATGTTTGGGGCATGTTCAATGTTTGCCCAGAGTCCTCCTGCAGGGGGACAGGCCCAACCTAAGCCTGGGTTGTAGAGGCGTGGATCCGCCGAGTCCAGGCGGGGCGCCGCAAGGTTGGGCTCGAGCGCGGCGCCCGCGCAACCCAGCGGGCGCGGCTGGCGTCTCTCATCCGAAGCAAGAAAACTGCGCTAACCTATACGTTCAGGGCTCCGCGCGAATTTCTTGGATCTGCGCTGGAACCCCCCTTGGCGGCGCCTCCGGCGCCGCACCTGGCGTGTTCCGCGCGCCAGGGAGAGAGGTCAAGCGCAGATCAAAGACATCCGCACGAACCTTCCACGGCTGATGCTTATGGCTTTCGTTGTTCCTCTACCAGCGGGCGCGGCTTGCGTCTCTCATGGAAGCTCACGCCTCGATGTTGTACGAGCGTGCGGTACGAGCTACGTGAACACAAACGGCAGGCACAAGAACTACGCAAGAGCGCGGTGAGTCCCCAGGCTGTGCGGCCTCGGGACTCTCCTTGCCGCCAGTTCGGTCAGACAGCTCATCCGCCGTCGTACGCCTGGGTCGGCGCGGGCTCGCGTGGTCTCTCCTGCCGTGTCTTCGTAGCCTGGCTGTGATGGCCTAGTACGGGCCGGCGTTCGCAATCATTTCATACATGAGCCGAGCTTTTTTGCTCTTGGCTTTGGTGCCGATGCTCTCTGCTTCGCATTCGGAGGAGGAGCGGCGCGAAGTCGGGGACATGCGACGTACTGAACGCCGTGCGTGTGTAGACAGGCAACCCAGGCCGCACAGATGGGGTCCGAGTGGACTGGGCCGGAGGATCGCGCCGCATCGCCGATGCGGCGCGTTGTGTAGCCCGACTTTCTCCATTCCGACGTCGCCGGCGTATCGCCGACGTCGCCAATGCATTGGCGATGCGGCGCAAGCCTTCGACCCTACCTACTCGCACTCCATTTTGGAGGCTTCTGGGTAAACGATTTTGATATACTCGTGCCTACGCTCTGTTTGTTGCTTTCGCCCGGCGTTTCCCAGCCAGGACTGCAACAGGAAGCGTGTCCGATGCCATCTTCCCACCCGTGGTAGTTGTCGGTCGTGCTCGTCCTCCTTATTGCATCCACCTCTTCTGCCGCCCCTGCGGACGCTGCTGATGGTGGTGCTGCCGTCGCTGCCCTTACTCATTCACATCGTGTTCCTACCTCCAACTTCTGTCCACCCGCCTCCTTTCCACCTCTTCATCTTCCATCCACTTCGCCGCCTCAGTAGACTCTAAGTTAACCTCGTCGGGGTCCTGTCCACGATCCTGCTGCCACCTCCTGCAGCCGCTGGTGGTGCTCTTCCTCTCACCCCGCATCGTCGTGTCAGTCGCATTTGTCCTGGTCCTGCTCATGTTCCCGATGCCGCCGCTGCTGCCATCTTTCATCCTGAAACGCATCATCATCATCATCATCATCATCATCATCATCATCATCATCATCATCATCATCATAATCATCATCATCATCATCATCATATTCATATTCGGCCACAGCAGATGAGAGAGGGATCCCCCCGCCCGCTCCCCTAAACAACTCCTGATCATCTCGTTACGGTCGGTAGCATTGGCTTAGCGTGTCGCGCCGCTCGTTCTGGCCCATCACGCTTCGGCGCGACACGCTATCCACGTTCACTCTCACAAGCGCCAACGTCTCCCGAGTTTCTCCCGGCCTCATGCCCCGCGGAGCGGAGCGACACGCCATCCGCTCGCAAGGCTTAGCGTGCCACAGGGGCCGCCGCCGCGACACGCTGATGCAAAAGTTCCTGGCCGTGCCCATCCTCATAAGCCTCGCCCTCCTCCCTCCCCCCCCCGCGTTAGACTCTCGTGGACATCCTGTGGGCGTGCGCGAAGCTCGACCACAACCCGGGAAAGGTGTTCATACAGGCGTGGCGTCGGGGCGGCGCGCGGGGGAGCGATCGAGCACCCGAAGGGGGCAGACACCCAGAGCTCCGATGATGTGATGTTTTCAGCCTGGCCGTCCTTCCCTCGGCCATTGGTATACCGTGGAGGCCCATGCCGAGAGACACCCTGCTTGCCTCCAGGGTGCCCTGGGTTTCTTGGGTTTCGATGGTTTTGCCATGGAAAGCGTGACGTTCCCACACCAGAAATCAATGGGCGTCCTGGGGTCTCAGGGGTGTTTTTTTGCTGTGGAAGGTTTCTTGTGGAAGGGCCCCTGCTGTACGAGATCCGTCCGTCCCTCAGCCATTGATACAATCAAGCTCATGTTTCGGCTGGTCCTAGATTTTGGCCTCCAGGGTGCGCTACCGGGCGCCAGGGCCATCAAAATGGGATTCCGCGGCGAGAAGCTGGCCCCCGGGTAAGGGGGCGGGAACTTCAGCGCGCCGCGCATGGAAGAAATCAGACCAGTGAGCGTCAGCGACAGACAGTGGGGCCGTGCAATGTCGCCGGCGGTCGTCTTCGCTGGCCGTCGCCTTGCAAGCACTGGCGAAGCCTCCTGGCTTGGCTATGGGCCCACCAAAGAGTGTTCTTAGAACCTGTTGTTGCTTGCACGAAATGTTCTGAGAACAGTTCTGGCTGGGACCGACTTGTTCTAACACATCTGGCTTATGCTGTCAGAACATTACTCTTGTTCTTGAAACGGTTTTGAAATCTAAGATCATCTCGTGGTGGGCCTGTAGGGCTGCTGGGACGATCGGTCCCTGCTCATGACTCAAGTCTTCGCTGGCGGTCGCCTTCGCTAGGCGGGCCGGGCTGCTGACCTTACAAGGGCCGGTCGTGCGGACCCCAATCGGCGGGACGGGCGGGCGGACTTTGAGACGGGCGGGTTGGGCGGACTCCTAGCGGGCGGGACGGGCGAAGGATTCTACTGGGCGGGTCTGGCGGGGGTGGTGTACATTGTCGGGGGGGGGGGCCCGAAACATCGGACCGCGTGATGCAGTTGCCCACGCGGGTGTCGCTGGAGGTTCGTCTGATGTGTGTGTGTGTCCGTGTGTCATGCACGATCCCCCTCAGCTGCCCCGCCCCGCCGCCCTCCGTCCCCCCTCCATCCATTCTTCTCCTCCCGACCTTTCCGCAGGTCCCTCTGGCCGTGCCCCTCTCCCTCGCTTCCTCGTCCCACCCCCGTCTGTCGATGCATCAACGATCACCTCCCCCTCCCCCAAATGAACTGATTAATCGGACCCTCGTTCATTCGCGCATTCATATTTCGGACCCGCCTCTGTCGAGGGCGCCTTCATTAGCTGGGCCCACTTACGGCCAAAATGCGCATGAGTTACACGTGATGGCAACGAGGGCGGTGGCAACGGCGATCACGACGCCAATCGTGGTCGTCAGAAAGAACCATTGTGAGGAGCATCGGCATCACCAGCACGTTTTGCGAGAGGGGGCCCGAACGTCAAGCCAAACATTCAGTCCATTCGGCTTTCTCCGAATCGTCTGGCCAGGTCGTGCCGTCCAATCTCGGGCACGTGTGAATAAAGGGCCGCCACAAGGCACACTCTCCAATCAAGCAATACAGCAAGTTTCTAGCACCAGATTATCGTAGACGCCTGCAGCAAGTCATAATCACAGCCGCCCCCTGCTTTTCAGGATACGTCTATGTGGCCAAACATTTTGGCAAAGTTTGGCCACGCTATTGGACCTTACGTTCCCCCAGCCGTTGGGGAAGCCATTCAGGGAACACGTGGGGGAGGAAGAGGATTATTAGCAGAGGGAGGAACAAGGAGGATGAGGAGAAGGATGAGGATTCCTCTTGGGTGCCTCTTGGGTCATTCCTGGGGGCCTCATCGGAAGCCTCTTGGGGGCCTCCTTGAGCCTCTTGAGGGTATTTGGGAGCTTCTTGGGGGCCTCTTTGACTGTCTTACGGCGTTCCTAGCCCGTCTGACGCCGTCGGAAGCCGACTTTGGAGCCTTTCTGGGATGTTTTGGGGCTCTTATGGGGCCCCTTCAGGATCTTTCGAAAGGCCATCTTGGGCGTCTTGGAGGCCTCTTGAGCAGTCTTGGGACAATTTGGGGGCCGTCTTAGGACCCTCTTGGGCCGCCCTGGGGCCGTCATGGAAGCCTCTTGGGCGATCTTGTGGCCATATTGGGTGCCTCCTGGGCCGTCTTGGGCCGTCGGAAAGCTCCTTTGAAACAATCCTTCCAAAACAAAAGGAAACACGATGATTTCGGCCTCTCTGGACCTTCCTGTAGGACCTCTTGGAGTCGTCTTGGGCCGCCTAAGAGGCCTCTTGGGCGCTTCTTGGGCCTTCTTGGGCTCTCTTGGACCATCTTGGCGGTTTTGGAAGCATCTTGGGACCGTCTTGAAGGCCATCTTGGGGCTATACTTGCGATCTCTTGGGGCCGTCTTGACCGGCTTGTTCTGGAGGCATCGTGACCGTCTTGGAGGCTATTTTGGCAATGGAGACTGAATTGTCCCAGGCTTTCCAGGTGGCCAGCGGGTACCCGTGTGCTAAATCAACAGGAGGCGGCGGATGACGGAAAGCGCGTGTAGCTTTGCGATACGTTAGCCGAGAGAATTAACAAGGGGGAGTGTAAGGGGGTTGGCTATTGCGGACCCAGATGGCGGAACGCGCGCTTGCGTCGCGATCCGCTAATTGGGAGAAATAACAAGGGGGAGTGGACCCAGTTGACGGACAGCGCACGGGGCGTCGCGATCCGTTAGCCGGGAGAAACAACAATGGGGGTTGGAGCGGGGGTAGGCAGGATTAGCACCAGATGACGGAAAGCGCGCGAAGCGTCGCGATCCGCAAGTCGGGAGAAGTAGCAGAGGGGGGTTGGGGGGGACGCAGCCAGGGACCCACAAGACGGAAAGCGCGTGTAGCGTCGCGATCCGTTAGCCGGAAGAAAGAACAAGGGGGGGTGGGAGGTAGGCAGCCGCGGGCCCAGATAACGGAAGGAGCGAGGTACGAGTGATGACGCTCTTGGAGGTCGGAGTTCTTTAGGCAGGGGTTCCAGGGGAGGGGCGAAGCGGGGAAGACCTACATCTAATGGTCAGCTTCCTTTTTGCGTTTTTTCGAGTGAAGCGGCTCCCGGGCGGCTCTCATGGCCCGTTGCCTCGTATGTTTTAGGAAGCAGCGGCTCCAGGGCCCGAAGACGGCCCAAGATGGCCCCAGAACGGCCCAAGAGGGCACCAAGACGGCCCCAAGAGAGCCTCAGATGGCTTCCAGACGGTCCTGGAGAGCCTCAAGATGGCTTAAGCAGGCCCTCGAGAGGACCCCAGGAGGTCAAACATATTGATCCGTAAAGGCTTCGCCGCCTGCCGCCGGCCCCCTCTCTCGGAGAATGGGAGATGCAAAAGCTAAATCTTGAGGTCTGGGCGCCGCCGTGAAGCAGTGTCGGGACCTGTTTGTTTTTCGACCCTGATCCTTACAGATCTGCGTCACGGGTGCCACCGAATTTCAGAAATGTGGCACACCCTTTGTGTTTTTTCCCAGAAAGGGCGTAGGCCCAGGGTTTTCTTTTAGCTGTTTACCCCCGGACCTGACTTGAGGTGGGCCGGCGGAATTATTCCCTGATAAATATCGAGGTCAAGGTGGGCCGGCGGAATTATTTTTGAGGATGTCCCTGGCGAAACGCTTGTTTTTCAGAATGTGTTGAGGATGTCTCGAGCGAAACGCTGGCTTTGCAAAATTGGAGGATGTCTCGATCGGGTGCCTCGTGGGACGCTAGAATTCAAAGGATGTCTCAGGCAAAATGCTTGTTTTCACGCCCCGGTCGCAGGAATTCCGAGAATGTCTCGCGCGTGCCGCGTCCCGCGCGCAGGAATTTTGAGGATGTCTCGACTAATTCTTTTGTTTTGCCAGGAAGTCTTTGGATTTTGACAGGATGCCTCGAGCGAAACGCTTGTCCCCAGCACGTTCCGTAGCGCGTCCCCTTGGCACGTCCCGCGGTGTGTCCCCATGGCACGTCCCTTGGCACGTCGCCTGGCACATCCCTTGGGACGTTTCGCGGCGTGTCCTCCTGGCATGCCCCCCTGTCAATTAGCTTTGGGGCAGCTACTATGTGTTCAGGCAGCTCGAGCTTAAGATCCAGATCAGTTCGGTCAGGACTCGGATGCAAAGGAGGACTCGATCCACGACGCTATAGAGCACAATCGCGCCATGGCACATCGCAATTCAGCACGGTGCAGCACAGCACAGATTTCGGCACGGTACATCAAGATCGATACACTCAGCATTGCAACTTGGCACGTTCCTTGGCACGTTCCGTGGGGCGTCCCTTGGCGAGTCCCCCTGGCACGTCGCGTGGCGCGTCCCCTGGCACATCCCGTGGCACATCCATTGGCACGTTCCGTAGCGCGTCCCCTTGGCACGTTCCGCGGTGCGACCCCATGGCACGTCCCCTGGCACGTCGCCTGGCGCATCCCTTGGGACGTTTCCGCGGCGCGTCCTCCTGGCATGTTCCCCTGTCCATTAGCTCTGGGGCAGCTACTATGTGTTCAGGCAGCTCGAGCTTAAGATCCAGATCAGTTCGGTCAGGACTCGGATGCCAAGGAGGACTCGATCCACGACGCTATAGAGCACAATCGCGCCATGTCACATCGCAATTCAGCACGGTGCAGCACAGCACAGCCCTCGGCAGGGTACATCAAGATCGATACACTCAGCATTGCATTTGCCCGTCACCCAATCAGGTGTCTTTGAACATGCTGCCATGTGTTACAGTTCTATATTCCTTTCCGGGTTCGTGGGTCGATCATGTTAGACCCTGACCTTACGGATCTGCGTGAGGGGTGCCGCCGAATGTCAGGCATGTGGCAAATCCCCTGTGCTTTTTGAACCCTTACCCTGCCGATCTGCGTGAGGGGTGCCGCCGAATGTCAGAAATGTAGCAAATCCATTGTGTTTTTAGACCCTGACCTTACGGATCTGCGTGAGGGGTGCCGCCGAATGTCAGGCATGTGGCAAATCCTCTGTGCTTTTGGACCCTGACCCCGCCGATCTGCGTGAGGGGTGCCACCGAATTTCAGAACTGTAGCAAATCCCAATTGTTTTTGCACCCTGCCCCCGCCGATCTGCGCGAGGGGTGCCGCCGAATGTCAGGCATGTGGCAAATCCCATGTGCTTTTTGAACCCTTACCCTGCCGATCTGCGTGAGGGGTGCCGCCGAATTTCAGAAATGTGACAAATCCGTTGTGTTTCTGTTGACCCTGACCCCGCCGATCTGCGTGAGGGGTGCCGCCGATTTTCAGAAATGTAGCAAATCCTCTGTGTTTTTGGACCCTGACCCCGCCGATCTGCGTGAGGTGTACCGCCGAAGTTCAAACATGTGGCAAATCCAATGTGTTTTTTGACTCTGACTCCGCCGATCTGCGTCATGGGCCCCCCGGATGTTAGAAATGTGGCAAATCCCTTATGTGTTTGGACCCTGACCCCACCGATCTGCGTGAGGGGTGCCACCGAATGTCAGAAATGTAGCAAATCCCATGTGTTTTTGCACCCTGACCCCGCCGACCTGCGTGAGAGGTGCCACCGGTTTTTAGAATGTGGCAAATCCCTTATGTTTTTGGACCCTGACCCCACCGATCTGCATGAGGGGTGCCACCGAATGTCAGAAATGTGGCAAGTCCTGTGTTTTTGGACCCTGACCCCGCCGATCTGCGTGAGGGGTGTCAATTTTGACACACCCCAGCAATTCAGACAAGACGATTTCTCCGTGCTAACATTGTCCTTTTCGGGGCCTCCCCCCCTCGCGCGGTCCATGAACAAGGAACAGTATGCAGCAAGAAGTCAACAAGGAACAATAAGCAGCAAGAAGCAGAACTGTAACAGTGTAAACTGGAAGCTGCAACTGGTACAGGAAACTGCGAACCTCCGGCCTACAGCCTGGTGGCCCCGCAAGGGGGCCGGCGGATTTCCGTATGGTTTTTGCTGGTTTTCCTTTTTGTTTGAAGAGGACGCGGGCAGCCGATGATCAACGTCCCTCAGAAAATATCAAAAACAACAGGTTTTTGATGGTTTTCCGGGTTCTCGCTGTTTCGGGCCCAGAAGGGCCCAAGACGGTCCAAGAAACTTCAAATTTCGTCCCCAGAAGGCCCCAGAGGCCCCCCAAAGGGGCCGAAAGCAAGGTTTGGTGTAAGTGTTCGGTATAACAAAGTCTTAACACCACGAGGACTTCAAGACACTGAGCGAGCAATCTCGCGCCCTCCCAGAGTACGAGCACTTCCCGTCCCAGTGCAAGCAGGTCTCATGGCCTTCGGCCCATCCCGCCAACATGCCTGAGTTGTGGGTCAGAGTGGTCTTGTATGCAGGTTAGGGTGTCTTGGGATGCCTCTCGGGAACTTCCTGGATTCAGTTTGAAGCCTCTTTGGGACCTCTTGGAGGTCTCTTGGGGCCTCGTTCGGGCCTCTTTGGGGCGTGTCGGGGGCCTGTGGTGCCGTCTTGGGGGTGAAGCTCGATATGCTGGTTTGGCTCTCCCTCTTGGGGCCCCTCTTGAGGCCCCTGGGGGGTCCCCTTGTACTGTCCTGGAGGCCTCCTGGGCTGTCCTGGTGGCCCTCTTGGGTCGTCTTGGGGCCTCTTGGGGGGGCCGTCCTGGGGCGATATGGGGGGCATCCTGGGTTCTCTTGGGACGATCCTGGAGGCTTCCAGGGCTGCCTGGACTGCTGTGACGCCCGGTCACGCGAGTATGCAAGACCAGCACGCCCTAAAAGATTGGGACGATGTTGGCACCACGGGGCTGCCTGAGGGGCGCTCTTGGTACTTGCTTGAGCTTTTTTGGAGGCCTCTTGGCTCGCCTTCAAGGTATCCGAAGGATCTGGGTGCGACCGAGCCCGCCTTGGGACCCTCTTGGCTTCCAGGAGACGCACGCGACACACCCCAAGAGCTCCTGGAAATTGTCCAGAGCTTCTAGGGGCCGCTGGGAACTTGGGGTCGGGGCCCTTGAGAATCTTGAATCCTGGCTGCAGCAGCAGCAGCAGCAGCACTTCTGTGAGCCTTGGGGGCACTCCACTTCGTGCCAAGGGCACGGTGGCGGGTGTCAGTAAGTCTCAGTGTCAGTTGCCGCAGGCGAAGGCCGAGTCTTGTTCTGTTCGCACCCGTTGATTTTCAACCACGCGTCTAGAAGCATGCCCACAGTGAACAGCCATCAGCTGCCAACGGCACATGCATGTTTTGTTGATTATTGTCTCTGCATCTGACTAACCGAGATTCTGGACAGTACGACGAACATCCAACAAGCACTGTGCTCTAAAAGGCCGCCGTGCCATACGTCAAAGCTTTATGTCGTGCTCGAACTAAGTATGGCAGCGTAGTAAAGCTCAAGCTGGGTGTTTGTCAGCATCGCTAATTTGTTCGGCCTCGGAGGAAGACGATGCCGACGGGAAATGAGGGGTGATCATGACAAGGGGGAGGAGGAGGAAGAGAGATGAGTGATGTGGAGGATGGGGCGGAAGAGAAGGAGGTTTCGAGGTGGTCGCTCTCAGCTCTGTTGGCGGCAGCATTCCGCATCGTTGTGTGTTTTGCTCGGCTGTGCGAACCGCGAGAGTAGATCGGGGATCGCGGGGGCCGCGGAGAGAGATGTGAAGGAGGAGAATAAGGATGATAGGATGAGTGGGACGAGGAGCCGGACAAGGAGGGACAGTTACTGTACATCAGCAGGACGATGACGAGCAGGATAAGGCGAGATCTTCCGAGATTTGCGCAGGTTGTCACGGAGAAGACCGCGCGGTCCCTCCCAATGCTGGGCACTTACATGCTGGGCCAGCTGTTATGGCTGGGGGGGGGGCGGGCAGGGGCCTAGTAGAAGGAGGTGGACAAGCAAGATGATGAGGCACAGAAAAAAGCAGCAGGAGCAGTACGAGGAGCTCGGAGCGGAGCTAGGCGTCGCGCTCGCCTGGGCGCTCGCCGTGATCGCGGCGAGCGCCAGCATGGAGAGGGAGGAGGAGTAAGCCGCCAGTCAAATATGTTGCACACCTGTGGATTTGCCTCGATTGAGCCTTCAGCAGCAAAAGGGCGAGCAGGAGGAGGAGGAGGGGGAGAATGGGGATGAGGACGAGGAGGAGCAGCATGAGGAGCAGGAGATACCCGAGACTGCGCGTCAATGTTGGCACCAGCTTCCGGGAGATGCTTTGTAGTCTCGTTGGCGCACCGATTTGGGCAAAGCGCACCCGAGATGTTGTGGCGCCTTCGCGCCGCCATGCATGTCCCACTTCCTTCCTGGAGCCATCTGCAGTCGCTCAACTAGTTCACGCTTGAGCTCCACCTGTCGTAGCCTTCCCATATCACCACCCTCGAAGTCCATCTCAGGCGACAGCTGGCGCAGTCGAGAAGGCACATGCTGGTTGGCACGACGCTTGCCCGTGAGCTCCACCCGCTCCTTGGCCAACACCTGGGCTTGCTCCTCGGGCCCCGTCTTTGCCCACGTGGTGCTCCGCGGAAAGGCAGGTCCGCTCTCCCCCTCCCAGCCAGAACCCGATCAATATCTATTCCTGGGCACCACTTCGACCAGCCTTGCGACTGTGTCTGGCAGTGGCGGCGAGGGGGCCTCTGTTGGCCAAGGTGTGCGGGCTCGTGCCTCACACATCCCGACGGAAGGCGACATGCCACAGCGTGCACGGCCCCGACCGCCTCGATCTGGGCTGAGAGCTCCTGGTCCTCCTTGCCACCGCCTCTCTCGTCGATGTCCATCTCCCCCCAGGCGCGCTCACGTTGCCGAGAGCCTCATCCTGCTCCTCCCGCTCCGACATGCTTGCAGAGCGCGGCGATCTCAGCCTGCAACCTGGCCAGCTCCCCCTCCTTGGGACTGGTGCCTCGGACCCCTGCTGTGGCGTGCAGAAGATTGATGATGCAGACGGGGTCTTGCTCCGCACTAAGCAAGATTATTTGCGGATTCCTCCGCAGCCACCCTCTTCGAAGCTGCTGAAGTGCACCTTCCGGCCTGTATTGACTCATGGTTCCACATGGTTGTTGAGTACATGAGCGGCCTTGCCAGTCATGCGGCTGACCATCACAACATGGCGTGATGATTCTTTGCCCACCCCTGACATCCGCGGCTCCGAACAAAAGTAGCCTGGCGAGGGACCCAACCTTTTGCAGCTGCGAGCATCGCGATGCAGATGAAATGGAGGAGGGGGACCAGCACAAATACTGAGGCGTTCACAGGAAAGGAACAGTAGGTACGGGCTTGCGGGGGGATGTTTTGTTTGGTCCGAACCCCGAGCGAAGCCGTTGTCGTGCCCATTTCCTTCCTAGCTAATTCGCCCTCCTGCTGGAGCTCCCAATAACGCCACGAAGCGTGTGAGGGGTGTGCCGAGTCGGATGCGGGTGCGCCTTGCGGAACCTGCCGCTGGGGCCTTCGGTGGAGCCCCCTATGTGGCCACGAAGCGTGTGACGGGTGTGCCGACTTGGGTGCGAGCGCACCTTGCGGACCTTGCCGCGGGGGCTTATGGTGGAGCTCCCTATAGGCCACGAAAGCGTGTGACGAGTGTGGCGGGTCGGGTTCGGGTCATGCGGACCTTGCCGTGGGGGCCTTCGGTGGAGCCCCCTTATGGGGCCACGAAGCGTGCGAGCGGTTCGCCGAGCCGGTTGTGGGTGCGCCGTGCGGACCCTGCCGCTGGGGCCTTCGGTGGAGCTCCTTAGCGGGGCCACGGCGCGTGTGAGGGGTGTGCCGCGCCGGGTGCTGGTACACTATGCGGACCTTGCTGCTGGGGGCCTTCGGTGGAGCTCCCTACACGAAACCTGCGAGGGGTGTGCCGAAACAGAGAAAGGCGGAGGGCAGGGGCAGGGATGGGAGAGGGGAGCGGGAGGAGGAGGAGGAGGAGGAGGAAGGATGAGGAAGGACGCGGGGCGCTGCGTCTTCGAAACGAGGGCCCAACCCACAGGAGTGTTTGGGCAAATCTACCAGTGCGGAAAATTATGACCAGAGCCCTAGACCCATCTTTCAGTGGTATGTTTCGAGCCCGATAGATCTAGCATGATCCCAGGGCTCGAAACCAGGCGAAAACGCCGAGTGTGCAAAGATGATAACGCCTAGATCACATTGACCCGCACGGATCGCAAGGCGGTAACACAGGGCACGAAAGGAAGGTTGTGTGTCCCCGACAATGCGCAGCTCGAGTGGCAGGGAAGGCGGCTGCCCTTGCCACGCGCGGCCTGCACGAGAGATGATGGAGGTCTGCCGCGGACCAGCGGCATCCGGCTCTGCCTTGGGGCTGGGAGCCCCCCCAAACAGGAGTCTTGAGCCCCAGAGATGCATCAAAGAAAAGCCAGCCAGTACGATAGGGCGACACATGCATGCGAAAAGGTGCCACCTGTAGCCACGACGGCTCGGCATAGTCTGTCAGAGAGGCGCCTGCTTGTTCAGACTCACGTGTTGCATGAGTCCCTGTTCGGCCACCTGTGGGGCTGGGAGAAAAGGACAGGACAGGAAGAATCTGTGGCTGACGCCAGCCTCGCAACCGTTCCTGATCATCGGCCCACTCAGCCCTTCAACGCCAGTGTCAACATGGTGTCGCCTGCGTCCTTGCCTGGTCATTTTACGCGCTCGGTCGGCATCCTGCCCGTCAAGCTCAGCGGCCACATGCGAGGGCATCCTCTTGGAAATGTTCCACCAAAACAAGCCGACGACGCCTGAATTTCTTTTCGATATGCTTGATCACGCGCATTCTGGAATGGAAACATTGCCTACATACGGGGCGATAGTACGTCTCAATATACTCCCTGGCGATCTGTCCGACCCCATGCATGTTAGAAGCATGTTGGGCCAAGTGTTGAGGAGAGTTGGAGTGGCAATCGCACCTGGTGCACGCGAAAGTCACGTACACTTCAGCATCCCGTTTCGTCTTGGCCCACTTTTCCGGTTTAGCATCCCAGAGAGTTGTTTTGAAGCGCGACGGGTTGTCATTGACCACGGCAATCCACTCTTCGAGTGACGCGGCACTGAAAGAGGCGAAGGCCCCCGACACGGACGGTTACATCAGTAAGTCGTCAACAGTTGCCTGCAACCACGACCTCCGCAGACCAACAGTGAGGGCTAACGCAACGCACAAGTCATGAGCGACCCCAACGCACACCCTCACAAAACGACACAGCCGCATGTACATGATCATGATAGCTGAGGCGAGAAAAGGACCATGGTAGGCGATGAAAACGTGAGCATGTAGTTGTGCATCCTCGCAGTCGTCACGAAAAGTCAAAGACTACACCTGCATGATGGAAGTGCGTACCCGAAGCATTTCGCCGGAATGTCACGAGGACCATGTCCCTGCTTGGCGAATTAGAATCCATTGCACCTCCGTTGTGAGGCAGTTGTATACGAGGGGGTACAGAGGGCAGAGTGTTTACACAGTTGGGAGGAATAGTGAATTTAGTTTTGGTCGAGTTTGGAGTGCCTCGAAGGCAGCCGCGCACCCCATTCGCAGGCACATGGCTAGGTACGAACCGAGGACATCTTGCTCCCCGTTGCCGTCCTACCCCTAACTCCGTCCCCCTCCTTCCTCCCCCCCGGGATAGTGTCGAAGGCGTCCGCGGCCCGGGCGGGAGAGCGCACCTCTCCACCTCCACCGTTGATTTCTCGTTCCTCCTTGCCTCCCTGATCCACCGTCCGTCGTCTTACCTCGCCCTCCCTCCTTGTTCGAAGAGGGGAGGAGAAGTCCCTGATGCCGCGCGCCCGCATCGGCGATCTACCGCCCGCTCGATATCCGAGCACAACGGCGCAACCAGACAGGGGGGGATTGCCAATGCAAGCGTTCGGGGCGCACTCCAAGCGCGGGCGGCAACGGCCGACGAGCACAGTCGCATCACGAACACGCAAACATATATATATATATATATATATATGTGTGTGTATGTATGTATGTATGTCTGTATGTATGTATGTATGTATGTATGTATATATATGGGTCCCTGCGGCAATGTCCGCCCCTTTGGCAGCGAGCGATCTGTACGGCGACGCGCTCGCGATTGAGAATTCCATGACATGTGACACCTTTCGTGTCCTCGGACTGCTGCGGGGCCTTCTTTGGGGTCCTTCGGGGTCCTCTTGAGCCGTCTCGGGGCCGTTGTGGGCCGCTTTGGTGCCGCATTTCGCCGCGGCCGCCCTGGGAAACGTGCGTTTGCACCCCCATTGGGGGCCGCCCTGGGCCAGGTAAGTGTGAATTTGCGTTCCCCCCCACCAGGGAAAATCGACTTCGGTTCCGGGTTGGCAAAGTCGAGGTGGCGAGCGTTTCCTATTTTCGAAATGCACCGATCAAGGTGTTTTCTGCGTACGCAGTTGGTATCTTCAACTGTGTATTCGCATGCGTGGGTCCATGGTTTTTACACAGATCCTGGTGAGACTTGTGCGCGCAGATTATATTCCCATCTGTGCATTCGGAGTGCGCCCCTCGCGGGTGGCGTTGACGGGGCCCGAACTTTCACGATTCTCTTTCGGCTGGTCCAAGGGGGGCGTTGTACGCGGTCAAAATATACAGCTCGCGTGTCCAACTGTGAGGGCGTTGCGCGCCACCCGCTGGAGTGGCCAATGGGTGGGTGTTTCCGCGGATCTCCCGGCTGGTCCAGGGGGGAACCGTGGTCTGGGAGGGCAAAGGCGCAGGGGGGGGGGTTTGCGGGGCTATGGGAGGCAAGGGGTTCGAAAGGAGGGGTGGCGAATGGGCCCGGGGATGGAATCGACAGGACGAAACGGAAGGAAATGGGTCCAGGAGGAGCTGCATCATCGGTGTCAACATCGTGAGGACGACGAACAATGGAGGGGCAAAGGGAAGGGGGATGATCTGCAATAGGGCGTAGGGGGCGGGAGGAGGGCGCGGATTTGGATGATGGGGGTTATCTGTCGGAGGACGAGGAGGGACGACATGAACTGGCAGACGGGGGAGTGGAGAATGAGGAGAAGGGGCATGATGAGGACGGGGGGGAGTCGGAAGGACAGAGTGAGGGTGGGGCGAAAACGAAGGGATATCGGGAAGAGGCGGGGGATGGGGCATGAGGGCGAGGCGGGCGCCAGTTCACGCTCAGCTGATCAGTGGGTTGCGTGTCCGTGCGCCCTCCCAGAACATGGTGGTCGGTTGCCGAGTTTCATTATCTGGACAGTCGTGCGCGTCATGCGCCCAGGCCAAATGCTCGAGTCCACGACGCTCCTTGGCGTCGTGTTGATGTCGCCCCGTTTAGCCAGACCGCCTATGCACAGAGAGGCACAACATGTGCTGCAACGTTTGTTTCATGACTTTCTCTATAGTGACAAACCCACGTGGGAATCACATTGGCTTTGACGTTATATAACTGACGTAGCACCCCGCAATTGCGGACGCGAGTGAGGGGGCGGGCGCGGGCGTCGCGGGCGATTCTGGTTGGCTTGTTCAGTAAACGTATTGAGAAGGCCTTACGGCCGGTGCCGCCGACCCTGAATGGCGACGACGACGACGACGACGACGACGACGACGACGAGCGCTCTTGGGGGCCTCTTGGGGGTAGTTTGTGCGCCTCTGGGGAAACTCTCAGGGGCCGCTTGGAGGCCTCGTGGGGGCCTCTTGGGGCTTCTTGGGGGTCTCTTGGAAGGGGGCCTGGGACGTCTTGGAGGCTTCTCGGACGGTCTTGGGGCTATCTTGGGGGTTTTCGGCCGATCTTTGGGCCACTCGGGGCCCTGTTTGGCCGTCTCGGGGGCCTTCTGGGGCAGTCGGACCTCATTTGGAGTGTTTTTTTTCCAAGTTTCTAGACCGCCCGAGGAAAAACTAATCTGCCCCCCCACCCCCCCCGGGACCCCCCCCGGGACCCCCCCCCCCCCCCGGGACCCCCCCGGGGACCCCCCCCCCCTGGGGAAGGGGCTTCCCTTCGACTCGATTACGACACTGCTCGATTTTTCTCTCGCTCACGAGCTTGAGAAGGAAGCTGCAGGGAAAGGGGACGACGGAGGCGACGACCGACGGAGACGACGACTCGAACAGCCAAGCCCCTCGCACACGCCGTGGTTGGCTTGTTCAGTAAACGTATTTTGGGTCGCGGGTGGGTCGCGGGCTCCCCACCTCCACGTGGAAAGAATTCAAAATCAGCCCGCCGCGGGCGCCGACAATCTTGATTTGTACGCTGAACGCGGTTTGGGTCGCAGGTTTTCCACCTGGAACGACTGGAAAAAAACCGCCGCAGGCGCCGACGTTTTGGTTTGCTCTGTGATCGTAGTTAGGGTCGCGGGTGGGTCGCGGGCTCTCCACGTCCACCTGGAAGGAATTCAAAGACAGCCCTGCGCAGGGCGAAAAACAAATATTCCCCAAGATGTTTCATAATGGTTCCCACGATGCTCCAAGATGCCCCAAAACCGCTCCAAGGCGGCTCCAAGTGGCCAAAGAGCCCCCCCGGGAGGCCCCGAAGAGGCCAAAACCTTAAGGAACATATATGTGTTTGGCTGTCTCGCCTGTTCGCTTCCGATGGCCATCCGAGGCCTCAATATGGCTCCGAGATGGCCCAAAAGGGCCCCAAGAGAGGCCCAAGACAGCCCCCAGACGGCCCCCAAAGCGCCTAAGAGCGGTCCAAAAGCGCCCCAAGAGCGCCCCAAGAGACGATGTTTTGGGCTCCCGAGGGGCAGCGCTAACTCATGTTCGTTGCTTGTTTGATCGATGTCTTCCAAGATGGCCCCACGAGCGCTCCCAAGGCTCCCAAGAGCGTTTCGGAAGGGCCCAAAGAATCGCCCAGGAGGCCCCAACAGGCGCCCAAGAAGCTTCCAATATGCTCCCAAGAAACGCTTTCCGAGGCACCCAAGACGCTCCAAGAGGCCTCCACTGGGGGACCCTTCCTCTGTGTGCTGCCCACTTCCCTGATCGAGGCAATTCCTTTGGGCATCGTTTCTGGATGGGCCGGTGGGGTTACGCAAAGCGTTTAGAATTTGGCACACCCTACACGTTTCCCGGCCCCACGGGTAGCTCCACGGAAGGCCCCAGTGGCATAGTTCGCATGCCGCCACCCGTCAATTTTGGCACACACACACACACACCTCACACGCTTCGCGGCCCCATAGGGCGCTCCACCGGAGGCTACAGTGGCATGGTTCGTATGTTGGCGCCACTCTTTCACTGTGGCACACCCCTTCAAACGTTTCGTGACACCATAGGGAGTTCCACCGAAGGCTCCAGTGACATGACTAGCATGCCGCCTTCCTCCACTTTGGCACACCCCTTTCACGGTTCGTGGCCCCGTAAGGAGCTCCATCGAAGGCCTTAGTGACGGTGTTCGCATGCGTTTTCCCCACCCAGTACAACGCTTTGTGGCCCCATAGGGAGCTCCACCGAAGGCCCCACTGGCATGGTCCGCATGCGCTTCCCCTACCCAGCACAGCGTTTCGTGTCCCCATAGGAAGCTCCACCGAAGGCCCCATTGACGGTGTTCGCATGCGTTCCCCCCACCCGGAGCAATGGTTCGTGGCCCCATAGGGAGCGCCACCGAAGGCTCCAGTGGCGGTGACCGCATGCGTTCCACCCACCCAGTACAGCGCTTCGTGGCTTTAGGGAGCTCCACCGAAGGCCCCAGTGGCGCCCCACCCCCACTGCGGCGCACCACTCGCGCGTTCTTCGGCCCCATGGTGGTTTCCCTTTAAAGCCCCAGTGGCAGTTCCCACATGGCGGCCCCGCCCCATCTCGGCACACGCTTCGCATTCACGGCCCCATGAGGAGATCCCTCGAATGCGATAGCCGCAACGACGGCACTCACAAGTGCATATGGTTGGGTTCTTCGCCTAGATAATTGTACTAGCTCGAGGAGGCACCAGATCTGGAGGCAACGCGGTCCAGTGCTGGTGAAACACCCCTTTGGCCCAGGGGTGCTGGCGCGTTCCACAACTTTTACGCCTCGGAACAAGGCGCCCAGATTCGTAAAGCCGAGACCTCGGAGTCGAGGAACCGAGGACTGGCACTGGAACCAAGACGCTGAATACTGACACCGGAGTGCTCGAGGCCTGATTCTCGCAGCCTGGTGGCCCAGCGCAAGGGGCTCCTGTGGACTTCCTTGTGGGGGTGAGGGCTCGCCGCTTCACGTCGACATCCCCCCCATGGCGAAACTTGTCGCAGCACACCGCTTGTAAGTATTTGCCAGTCTGCTGCTAGCCGTCGGCGCACACACCCGCAACACTCCTGGGTCTGCTCATTGAGGTGATCGCTTACGGTCGACCAATGTGTCGTGCAGAGAGTGTGCAGATCGTCAGCATATGTGTTTGTCTCTCACGGGAGTCATCTGTTGCACGCCGTTTGTTTATTCACACCTTTTACGATGTAGTGGGTGGACGTGAGGGGAGCACCGCGCCAACGTCGGCAGGTCGTTTGCCAAGATGAACCACCATCCTGGCGTGCACTTCATGTCCGAGTTCGTCGCAGCTCTATCTCGCAGCGAGGGGATCAACGAGATGCGGGCGGGACAGGTCACGACAGTCATGTGGGCCTTCGCGAGGCTGCTGCCGGGGCATTCGTCACTGGAGTAGGGCCAGCACGTGTGTGGGTCCGAGGGGGGATAGGTCCGAGGGGTGGATGATGAGCAGGTGGAGGAGGAGGAGGAGGAGGAGCAGCAGCAGCAGCAGCAGCAGCAGCAGCAGCGAGGGGCACTCGCAGCCGGTGGTGGCGAGCTCCCGAGCCAGCTGAGCCGAAACGAATGTTCGACCTTCTTCAACCTGCCGTCGCCGGGTGAAGGCGGGCGCGGTCTGCGCGCGGCTGGTTCGATACTTGTGGATGCTTGGTCCTTCACGGGGGTGAGGGCGCCGAGTATCGAAGACGCCTACAGCGCAGCGGGCCTCGAGGAAGCGCAAGTCTGGATTCAGGCGCGCAGGCTGCGTTGGCGTCATGTTTTGAGGGGTGCGTTCCCCGATCTGTGCATCTGGCGTCCATTCGCCAGATCCTCGGATCTTTCAGCCATGTGAGTTAGCGTGTGCCCGGAAAGTCAACGTCTCCGTCGATTTTGTGGAACCGCTTGTGTGGTGAAATGTTGCGCGCACGTGTTGCCACGCTAGTGGAGCACACGTTCCCCAATCCGTTGGAGCCAGCATTGGGGGAACATTGAGGCGGGGCTCTCTGGGGTCGGCTCGGGACTGTATTGGGGTTCTTGTCATGTTTTTCGGTTCGTTTGGGGGGCCTCCTGGGGCCCGCTCGGACAATCTTTGTGGCGACCTTGCACTGTCTGGCGCATCCGTAGGTCCTCTGGGCCGTCTTGGGCCTTCTTGGGGCTATTCAGGGCCGTCTTCAGGCTGTTTTGGGACGTCTTGGGGCCATCTTAGGCCGTCTTTGGGGCTTCTTGAGAGATCTTGAAGGCCTCTAGGCCGTCTTGGGACCCCCTTGGAGGCCTCTTGCGCCGCATTCAGTTGATAACCCGAAATGGTTCAGAACTCGAACGCCCTTCAAGCATTTCCAGACAAGGAGGGAAGTTGTGCCTCTTCAGGCCCTCTGGAGGTGCTCTGGGATGACTCCTCCAGCGTCTTTGAGGCCCTATCGGCCGTCATGCGACCATCTTTGTCCGTCGTGGCGCCATTTTGAGCCGCGTCGGATGCATATATGGCGAAGTTGGAAACCTCGTTATGACATTTTGTGCAATTTTGGTGGCCATCTGTGCCCGTCTGGGGGCCGTCGTGGAGGCCAACTTGGGCCAACTCAGCAAGGGCGGCGGATCGAATACGTGGCGGCTGATCGAAGACGACTACGGCGGACCACCACCGCCCCCTGGCTCATGGAATCGTCTGTGCGTCAAAACGTTCGGCCAAAGTCTGGCCAAGGTATTGGACTAGATGTGTTCCTCCCGCCGTTGCGGGAGCCCTCGGGGGAACATTAGGGGAAGGGAGCGAGAGAAGAGGAGGAGGAGGATGAGGAGGAGGAGGCGGAGGAGGAGGCGCGAGAGAAGAGGAAGAGGAGGAGGATCAGGAGGAGGAGGAGGATCAGGAGGAGGAGGAGGAGGATCAGGAGGACGAGGAGGAGTAGGAGGACGAGGATGAGGATGAGGAGTATGAGTGACTGAGTGAGTGAGGTCGAGGACGAGGATGAGGGAGGAGGCATCTTGGGGCCTGATGGGGGCCGCTGAGGGGCCTTCTTCGGGGCCTTCCCCCGCCCGGCCCCGCACAGAGGCTGGACCACAGGCCTCCCGTCAGCCTCTCGGAGGCGCTGCTGCGGCAGGCCGAGGCGTGGCGCGGGGCAGGTGAGGGGAGGGGCCAAAGCAGGAGGAGGGGCGGTTGGGATTCATCCCTCTCTCCTCACCAGCATCTCCCGGAGTGCCGGTGGCGAGCGCTCTGCTCTGCGCCCCCTGTGGGCCTCTGTCTGCCGCCCCATCCTTCTCGCACCTCCTTCCCCCGCAGCGCCCGCCACTGCAGCCCAGCGTGCTCGTTTCTTCGCCCAAGTCGGCGATTTGTTTGTCACTGCATCACTGCGGTGGCGGCCCATGCCAAAGAAACACGCTGCTTGCGTCCAGGATGCTTCTTGGGCTTCGATGGTCTTGCGATGGAGAGCGCGATGCTCCCACACCAAAAATCTGAATCTATGGACGCCCTGGGGTCTCGGGGTTGGGTTTCTTGCGGAGGGTTTCTTGTGGACTGGCCTTCACTGTAACCAAGGGCTCCCTCGAGGGCGCGAAGTTATTCGCGCTTCGCGCTTCGCGGTCCTCGTTTCTCCTCCCCCTCCTTCTCGTCCTCCTTTTCTCCCTTTCGGAAGGCGGCGCGAGAGCGCGAAGTTATTCGCGCTTCGCGCAGCGCGAAGCGCGAACTTAGGAGCCCTTGCTTGTGGACTGGCCTTCACTGTAACGCCACAAGCCTGCGCTTCAGGCCCGATCGACGTCAAAACGGTCGGGCTCTTCAACCCCTCGGAGGTGCACGCCGGCATCGGCGCCAGTACGTCCCTCGTCAAGGGCTCCCAGGAGGGCGCGAAGTTATTCGCGCTTCGCGCTTCGCGGTCCTCCTTCCTCCTCCCCCCCCTCCTCGTCCTCCTCTTCTCCCTTTGGGGGGGCGGCGCGAGAGCGCGAAGTTATTCGCGCTTCGCGGAGCGCGAAGCGCGAAGTTGGGAGCCCTAGATGTTGGCCAGCGTGGGCCCCCAGACTGCGATGTCGTGCAGCCGATACGGAGCAAGCCGATGCAGCGCAAAGCAGCCCAAAGCTCAGAGCCCCGATTCATCCGGGGTAACTCGGGTCAGGGCTAACTCGGGTTCGTTTTTCGGGAGTCCGAACCCGAGTTACCCCGGACCCGAGTTACCCCGGATAACTCAGGCGTCCAGAGCCCCGAATCATCAGGGGTAATTCGGGTCAGGGGTAACTCGGGTTCCTTTTTCGGGAATCCAAACCCGAGTTACCCCGGACCCGAGTTATCCCGGATAACTCGGGCGCCCAACCGATGCAGCGCAAAGCAGCCCAAAGCACTGTCATTGCAACGCAATGCGGTTGCGATGCCACGCAATTCCAGTGCACATCAGAGCAAAGCAACACAAGACAACGCAAAGCAACTCAATCGCAGTGTAATCGCAGTGCAACGCAACGCGAGTGTCAAACATTGCGTGAGCAATGCAGTGCAATGTAAAGCATTGCGAAGCAATGCAAAGCTATGCTAAGCAAGGCAAAGCAACGCAGAGCAAATCAAAACAATACAATGCGATTGCACTGCAATGCGATTTCAATGCAAAGAGATTGCAACGCAGTGCGATTGCAACGCGATGCGATTGCAATGCAGTGCGATTGCACAAGCGGGTCAGACTGGCAAACCGGCCCAGTTCCTTAGAAGAGAAGCAAGAGCCCCTAAGGGTGAGCACTGTCTGGGGAACAATCCAGTTTTATTCCGGTCAATCCCGTTCCATAATCCGGTCGGATGGCTCTCATTCTTACGAAGGCCTCCCAGGAAGGGGGGTGGGGTGGCGGGCGGTGGGGGTGTGGGGTGAGGAGGTCAGAGATCGAACAACAAATCCATAATTACACCAGAGAAAAAACCCAATCAGTGGATGTTTTGATGAGATCGATGGTGAGATCGATTGAGTGAGATGAATCGTGACATCGATCATGACATCGATAATAAGTCGTGGGATCGATAAAGAGATCGATAAGGAGATCGACCAGGAACCCGGGAACCCGGAACCCTCCGAAATCGGCCCGATACCAAAATCGGCGAGAAATTGTCGCCAAATCTTTCCGGGAACCCAGAACCGGGAGCCTGGGAACCTAGCTTGCTACCAAACTCGGCGGGAAATTTTCGCCAAGTCTTTCAAGTACACTCGAGAAAAAAAACAATCTGTGGATGGCTTTCGCTGAGGGTATCGACCGGGAACCCGTGAGCCCGGGAACCCAGAACCCACCGAAATCGGCCCGCGGAACCAACATCCAGGAACCCGGGAACCCGGAACCAGGAACCCGGGAACCCAGCCTGCTGCCAAAATCGGCGGGAAATTTTCGCCACGTTTTTCCCCACATGCTTCGTGGGGTTCTGGTTTTCTTCTCTGCCGCGCCGCACCCGCGACACACACCTCACTCTTCGTACAGCACAGCTCAGCACAGCACAGCACATCACAGCACAGCACAGCACAGCTCAGCTCAGCACAGCACACAGCTCAGCTCAGCTCAGCACACAGCACAGCTCAGCACAGCCTAGCACAGCCCAGCACGGCTCAGCTCAGCACAGCACAGCACAGCTCGTGGCACTTTCTCGACACCACAGGGGGTGCGCAGGGGTTGGTCTCTCAGCTCGGCCGCTATCCACGACACTGGCGCAAAGCCTAGCAGGCGTGGGACACTTCTCTCGCTATCCACGACACAAAGGGGCGTGGCGCAGGGGGTGGGGGTGGTCTCTCAGCTCGGCCGCTATCCACGACACTGGCGCAAAGCCTAGCAGGCGTGGCACTTTCTCGACACCACAGGGGGTGCGCAGGGGGTGGTCTCTCACCGCGGCCGCTATCCACGACACTGGCGCAAAGCCTAGCAGGCGTGGCACTTTCTCGACACCACAGGGGGTGCGCAGGGGGTGGTCTCTCAGCTCGGCCGCCATCCACGACACTGGCGCAAAGCCTAGCAGGCGTGGCACTTTCTCGACACCACAGGGGGTGCGCAGGGGGTGGTCTCTCAGCTCGGCCGCTATCCACGACACTGGCGCAAAGCCTAGCAGGCGTGGCACTTTCTCGACACCACAGGGGGTGCGCAGGGGGTGGTCTCTCAGCTCGGCCGCTATCCACGACACTGGCGCAAAGCCTAGCAGGCGTGGCACTTTCTCGACACCACAGGGGGTGCGCAGGGGGTGGTCTCTCAGCTCGGCCGCACGCTATCCACGACACTGGCGCAAAGCTAGCAGGCGTGGCACTTTCTCGACACCACAGGGGGTGCGCAGGGGGTGGTCTCTCAGCTCGGCCGCTATCCACGACACTGGCGCAAACCTAGCAGGCGTGGCACTTTCTCGACACCACAGGGGGTGCGCAGGGGGTGGTCTCTCAGCTCGGCCGCTATCCACGACACTGGCGCAAAGCCTAGCAGGCGTGGCACTTTCTCGACACCACAGGGGGTGCGCAGGGGGTGGTCTCTCAGCTCGGCCGCTATCCACGACACTGGCGCAAAGGCTAGCAGGCGTGGCACTTTCTCGACACCACAGGGGGTGCGCAGGGGGTGGTCTCTCAGCTCGGCCGCTATCCACGACACTGGCGCAAAGCCTAGCAGGCGTGGCACTTTCTCGACACCACAGGGGGTGCGCAGGGGGTGGTCTCTCAGCTCGGCCGCTATCCACGACACTGGCGCAAAGCCTAGCAGGCGTGGCACTTTCTCGACACCACAGGGGGTGCGCAGGGGGTGGTCTCTCAGCTCGGCCGCTATCCACGACACTGGCGCAAAGCCTAGCAGGCGTGGCACTTTCTCGACACCACAGGGGGTGCGCAGGGGGTGGTCTCTCAGCTCGGCCGCTATCCACGACACTGGCGCAAAGCCTAGCAGGCGTGGCACTTTCTCGACACCACACCACAGGGGGTGCGCAGGGGGTGGTCTCTCAGCTCGGTCGCTATCCACGACACTGTCGCAAAGCCTAGCATGCGTGGCACTTTCTCGACACCACAGGGGGTGGGCAGGGGGTGGTCTCTCAGCTCGTCCGCTACCCACGACACTGGCGCAAAGGCTAGCAGGCGTGGCACTTTCGCGACACCACAGGGGGTGCGCAGGAGGTGGTCTCTCAGCTCGGCCGCTATCCACTACACTGGCGCGAAGCCTAGCAGGCGTGGCACTTTCTCGACACCAAAGGGGGTGGGCAGGGGTTGGTCTCTCAGCTCGGCCACCACGACACTGGCGCAAAGCCTAGCAAGCGTGGCACTTTCTCGACACCACAGGGGGTGGGCAGGGGGTGGTCTCTCAGCTCGTCCGCTATCCACGACACTGGCGCAAAGCCTAGCAGGCGTGGCACTTTCTCGACACCACAGGGGATGCGCAGGGGGTGGTCTTTCAGTTCGGCCGCTACCCACCACACTGGCGCAACGCCTAGCAAGCGTGGCACTTTCTCGACACCACAGGGGGTGCGCAGGGGGTGGTCTCTCAGCCCGGCCGCTATCCACGACACTGGCGCAACGCCTAGCAGGCGTGGCACTTGCTCGACACCACACGAGGTGCGCTGGGGGTGGTCTCTCAGCTCGGCCGCTATCCACGACACTGGCGCAAAGCCTAGCAGGCGTGGCACTTTCTCGACACCACAGGGGGTGCGCAGGGGGTGGTCTCTCAGCTCGGCCGCTATCCACGACACTGGCGCAAAGCCTAGCAGGCGTGGCACTTTCTCGACACCACAGGGGGTGCGCAGGGGGTGGTCTCTCAGCCGGCCGCTATCCACGACACTGGCGCAAAGGCTAGCAGGCGTGGCACTTTCTCGACACCACAGGGGGTGCGCAGGGGGTGGTCTCTCAGCTCGGCCGCTATCCACGACACTGGCGCAAAGCCTAGCAGGCGTGGCACTTTCTCGACACCACAGGGGGTGCGCAGGGGGTGGTCTCTCAGCTCGGCCGCTATCCACGACACTGTCGCAAAGCCTAGTAGGCGTAGCACTTTCTCGACACCACAGGGGGTGCGCAGGGGGTGGTCTCTCAGCTCGGCCGCTATCCACGACACTGGCGCAAAGCCTAGCAGGCGTGGCACTTTCTCGACACCACAGGGGGTGCGCAGGGGGTGGTCTCTCAGCTCGGCCGCTATCCACGAC